GAGGTCCTTTGCTCCGAGCAGGAGTGACGGACCGTCCGCCGAATTGCCACTGAACAGCTGGACGTGCCACCCCTCTCCGAAGTGGCCGCCCCAAGCACCTGCTTGGTAAGCTGGTGCCTGGAGCTGGCCCTGTCTACAAGAATTAGTGATGAAATTTGCCCCTGTACAGAGGACCAGGGCAAGGTCTATTCACATTTTATGTTCCAGTTTATTATTTATTATTGCATTGTGGTACTTCTTAAAGGCCAGGGTCCAGTTGGGCTAGGCTAGGCACTGTAAAAACATATAAAAAGAGACAGTTCCTGCCCCAAAGAGTTTACAGTCTAAGACAAGAGATAACAACTAATGATAGAAATGATATATAGTGGATGTTGTCAGATGTTCTGGTGTGTGTGTGTGTTTTCTCTATGGGCCAGCCCAGTTCTGTGCAGGTAGCTGGCACAGAAGACCTTGAGCAAACCGCCCAATGACCACAAGATCTGTTAAGGTATGAAGGCACCCGGACAGGTTTATTGTCAACAAAGCATGGTACTAGTATCCCACAAACTCTACTGGACCACTAATACGTGTATGCCCACAACAATGGACCGGCTCAGTGACTGGGGGGCTTTCCATTCCTGCCTAGGCCAGACAGGGACACTCACTTTGATACTTCATTTTATACATCAATACAAACAAGTTACTTACTGCCCCCAGACATGGTTAGCTGCCACCCATTTTTAGGAGTGTGTTCTCGTTATCTTTGAGGGCGGGAGGAGGGGGAGCGGGTGTTGAACCATACTTGTATGATGTGTTCTGGTACCACCCTTATGGAATGTGTTTGCATGAGTGTCCTGTGTCTAGTACTTAGAAATGTTTGTATTTTTGCAGTCCCAGCCCTGTTCTTGCCAGGTTCTATGAACTTGCACGCAGGCAGAGCCTGACTTCTGCTTACAGCCTGTATCCTGCTAACTTTGCTTTATATTAGCAAGGCTTGACCACTACTTTAGTTCAGGCCTCTGATACAAGGACTTCTGTCTCATCCTCTTTTTCTACTACAGTGGGAACACAAGGAAACAAAAAGTTAAGCCCTCAAAATAGGATTTAGGTGGTGGATGTGCCTTGTGCTGGCTCTCTGCACAGGGGTGAATTTCACTCCATGTGAATATCTAGAATGTTTTTTTATTGACTGGAAATTCACACAATTGGAGTGGGTAAAGGCTGCAAACAGGGCTTCTGTATTTTCATGTTTGGACGTACAGCTGAATATTGTGTTCTATCTATCTACCAAGTACTTATCACTCAGAGTCATTCTCATGTTCACTCTCTCTTCTCTGGTCCCAGAACCGGCGCGAGGCATAAGCAGACTAAGCAATTGCTTAGGGCCCCAAGCAGCTCAAGGCAGCCCCCATTAGCTTTTTATTGTGTGTTGTGTGGGGAGGGCCCCCAAGATATTCCTGCTTGGGGCGCCAATTGGCTAGCACTGCCTGTGGCCCAAAGACTGTTCCACTGTGGATAAATACTTAAATAGTCACTGGGCCAGAGAGAGAGGCTGAGTAAGTGAATGACTATAACCCAGTGGTTAGGGCACAGAACTGGGATAGCCTAGGGTCAGTATCCCTGCTCCAATCAGTTGTTCATTATTTAGCCACAATAGAACAGCTTCAACAGGAGAGATTGAGAGACACCCCCCCGCCCCGAGCAGAATATCCTATAGCCCAGTGGTTAGAGCACACCGCTGAGCAGTAGGAGATGTCCTCTTCAACTCTGTTCTCCTGCTGTGGCAGAGACGGGGAATTGAAACTTGGTCTTCTGTAGCGCAGGTGCAGGGCCGGCTCCAGAGTTTTGGCCACCCCAAGCAGCCAAAAAAAAAAAAGCCGCGATCTGCGGCGGCAATTCAGCGGGAGGTCCTTCACTCCGAGCGGGAGTGAGGGACCGTCCGCCGAATTGCAGCCGAATAGCTGGACCTGCCGCCCCTCTTCGGAGTGGCCGCCCCAAGCACCTGCTTGCCAAGCTGGTGCCTGGAGCCGGCCCTGGCAGTTGGGGAGCAGAGCTGTGCTCTTTCCAGTCAGATATCAGTTTTCCCTTTTGGATTCTAAACTATTTTCACTTGCTGGTCATTTTCCATAGCTTGAATCTCACACCTGAGGTTGGAACCCCAAGAATGTGGATATGCTGTAACTCATGTACATTTCAAGATTTTAATGGTCCTTTTAGACGTCAGAACAACAAACATGTTATTTATTCTTGGTTGAAATATATTCATGTCTTTAAAGCAGCCTGAAGGTGCAAAGCCAATGCAAACTTAGCATCAGCCCCTACTCCAGCAGAAAGCAAGGTGTACACATTCCTTTATGTACTAAAAGCATTTAGTATTTGGGTCCATCATAGTCATTTAATAGATACATGTTGCACACAGTCAGTATCCCGATTTTTCTTTTTTAATCAAGATCAGCTTCGAACTGGGCCATGCAAAACAAAGAATAGTTCAGTGCTACATAACAGCGAGGGCGGTAATAACATGGACCTAATTATCTTAATAAGATCACTACGCTGTGACTAAATTATATATTTGTACAACCATTCTATAAATCCTATATGTGGAGGTGGTATCCATGTGATAAACTGGAAAGGCAAATGACAAATTTATAACATGCTTTTGCAATTTGTCAAATGCCTATGAGCGCATCAATTTATCTTTAATTCATCTCCCTCAAGATTTGTTTGAACATATCAAACCCTATCATATCAACAGCTTCAAAAAGCTACAATTTTAAAAATAAAAACAACCTTTGAGAGAAAAGTTTCTTCCAGCTCCCCACCAAAGTTGCTGCTGCCTAAGGCACAGGAGGGACAAAATTCAGTTGTGTACTAGTGACAGCTTTTCTAGACATCAAAATATCACAGCTTTAAAATCTGATTCATATATTGGTGGCTCTGCAATGCTAAAAGCTGGAGCTTTATACTGTGAGAAAAGACGACTTCTGCCTTTCCAGTTATACAGTGCACTAATCATTTGTGGTTTCACCAAATTGTTAATCATACAACAATCCCAATCTCATGTTTATATCGCTCCATTATGTATATTCTTCTCTAAACTCTTTAAATGCAGAGAGACTAAATTGTCCTATGAAGCAGCTAATGAGAATGATTGCTACAGTAGTAAGAAAGTAACTGGAGGTGACAGAACCAACAATCCCTTTTATAACCTCACACCAAGGCCCTGCCTAGACCAGGAAAATGAAGTGGGTTTAGAAAACATTTTAATTAACATTCATTTTTAAATTGTTAATTCTCGCCACTTAGCAAGTTCCATAGATAAAGACAGAGATGTTGAAAAATGTGTTTGCTGGTTTCGGTCAACCCTAATCTTCAGATCTTCAGCAGCACATGTGTATGGTACAACAATCATCAATTTTTAGATGGTTCTTGGGCCTGTGGTTCACTTTAATGAACTTTCATACACATGAAAAATGCCAAATAGACAGCCTTGGAGATTGATATTTACCCACAAATTAAATATTGCAAGTGGAAGCAAAGTGCAAACTTTCCCAAAATGTCCTGCAAGTATTCCTAAAACCCTTTTTTCTGGGTACAAAGGTAGATCAATATCCATGGCACATTCAAACCTTGCCTTCTCTAGAAAGATGCCCCACAAGCATGCCAAACGTCAGTGTTTATGATAGAGACATCTATCTACCAGGAATTAGCCTGAGAACACCAACTTATTTCATAAGGATCACCAAGCAAAACAGCCAAGAGATAGTCATGGTTGGTCATTTCTGAGTGGGGCTAGCTTTGCATCAGTGACCTAGGAGATGATAAGCTCCATACTCCATTATTAAACTTGTGGATCAGTAATGTTCCAAGAATGATTTTTCTTTTTTTCTACATTCCTCCACTAAACACATTCAGGCACCCTTGTTCATCAGCAAAATTACTTTTGTATAGCTTAATACGGACAAATCACTCACTGCTCTACAGCCAAAATGCTTCTGAAATAAATGTAGTCAAACTTTACTAATTCTGGGTCACTGAGAACGAAAATGATGCTTAAAATTGTTGATTGGCTCTAGTTTTCAAGATATGCTATTGGG